AATTTCTACTGGACAGTGATGCTTAAGAGGAAAGGAACTGAGAGACTGCTTTTTATTTAGTATTTTATTTACTTAGGAGAGCAACTTTGGAGGGAAGTGCTATTAGGGATGAAAAGAAAAGGAGGCAAACGGGGGGTCCTTACAGCATAGAGGATAACCTGTTTGTTGACTTTTGATGAATGAGCTGCACCAACAGGTGGCTCCTGTGTTTCCTTTGTCCACAAGAGTCCCCTGCTAGGCACTGTGCATGCTTTATTGTTTGATCCTCAAGAAGTTTATTTGATAAGTATTATCATTATCCCTGGCTTACATCTGGCAAGCTGAGGCATGGGGAGGTTAATAAACTTGCCCAAGGCATACAGCTTCCTGCAGGTGGAAATACTTAAAGTATTAATTTCCATCTGTAGCAAAACTCAGTGTTTCTCTATAGAAATAAACCAACTCTTTGGAATGTACACTGCCAATAGGTGAGTAGTTAATGGTAGCAGTACTTACACCGATATTTTCACAGACAAAGGAGTTTATCAGAAATTTGCCAGACTTATTCTGTAGCAGCCATCTATCAACTGGATTCTGCCAAGCCCTAGGGTTCCCTGGAATTGCTGTTAGTGGGGAGCAAGGAATTGAAAAGCATTCCGCACTTCAGCCATAGCACCTTTTACGTTCTGGGGTTCTTTATAAAAACTCCACTTGAGCCCATTCTGCAGTGACAAAATGACAAAGATGGGTCACATTATTTGAAAAGTATACCATGTTAGACTTCAAACAGAGGTGCAAAGCCAGCTTCGTCTCCAGGTCTTCACTGCCCTGCCTCACTGATGCCTGTAATCTGTACAGTGAGAAAGGAAACCTCAGCAAGTTCTCTGGCCTCTTTTAGGTACATTTCTTTTTCATTTTTTTATTTTTTATTTTAAAAGATGACTGGTAAGGGGATCTTAACCCTTGACTTGGTGTTGTCAGCACCACGCTCAGCCAGTGAGCAAACCGGCCATCCCTATATAAGGATCCAAACCTGTGGCCTTGGTGTTACCAGCACCACACTCTGCCAAGTGAGCCACAGGCTGGCCCTTAAGTACATTTATTATAAAACAAAAACAAGCAAAAGTTAGCTTATTACAACTTCTTAAATTGTATAATTTTTTTTCAAGTCAGGATCAAAATTTAAAAACTCCTACCATACATTATTACCATTATTTCATGAAGGAACAAGTTAACGTAAAAAAAAAAAGAGTACACGTTAAAACTTAAAGAAAAACCGTCCTCATTTAAAAATTTTTCTCTACGCTGGTGAAAATTTCTAGTGAACTAACACTGGAGTATATGCTCATCTAGTCGTCTCCTTATTAAATGCCCCTATGGCTGCAAGTGGTCATCTGGCTTAACGATGACCATCTTCAGTGGCTGACCACAACATTCTATCCTTTAGATGTTTCATCCCCAGAGCTTAAGTGATAGAGTGGTACAATGAAAAATGCATGGATTTTAGAGTCAGGCCTGGGTTCAAATCCTGTCTCTAATCCTCATAGGCACTTGAATTAAGCACTTGAAATGTGGCTAGTGCAACTGAGGAACTGATTTAATTTAAATTGTATTAATTTAAATTTAGCCACATGTGGCTGGTTGTTACTGTATTAGACGGAACAGATCTAGACACTATATTTCTGTTACGGTAGTTTATGGTCACTTCGTTTTTGGAGCAACTATCTTATTCTGCCAACTTGCATTGTTCTTTAAATCGACTAAAACCTTTAAAAAATCTTCTACATTTGTACCTGAATGTATCCTTCCCCACTTGTACCTATGCAATCAGATCTTTATATCCAAACATAGAAAGTTACATTCATCTCTGTTACGTTTCATCTACTTAATTTTAGTCTGTTGCTTCAGTTTTTTAAAAAATAGAAACAATCAATAGAGATTTTTAAAAATCTTGTTATCCTAAGTATTAATATCAAGTGGTAATATATCCTAACTAGAGCTAAAAGACTCCTTAATTTTTCATCATTTGGCACAATTATGAACACATTAGCCCAATCAGACATTTCCTCCACTTCACCTTCTATGTAAGCATCCACTGGCAGGGTGAGGAGAGGGAATCAGTACCTTGGCTCCTCTCTCATCTAGCAGGAACAGGCTATTTATTTTAGATAGAGACTCAAAAAGAATGACTGGTATGAGTCCGGAGGTTTAGGTATGAGGCTGATGCCAGCTAAGTTTTTATTATATCTAGAAAAGAAATGTAACTTGAAATGTAAGCCATTCCAAATGAATGAAAGTTTTTAAACCTCTACAATTCTTTAATGGCAGCTTTTGGACCCACTGCCTAAGCCAGTTTTGACCCAACCAAGGTGCTGGAAAGCAGAGCACACAGTTGTGCCCATCAAGCCAATGAGGGCGATGGACCCCAGGGCTCCTCGATTCCGCTTGCTGGGTTCTGAAAGAGAAAAAGCAGAAGTTACTGGGGATGCTCCAGAATTACGATACTTTCAACATCCACAAGCCAGTCTATCATGGTATCCGTGGTTGTACATTAGACAACCTGGCCTTGGGAGGTTAACCAACTCTTTAGCCTAAAGCTGTGGGTGTTTCAGATACTGCACGCAAAGCAATGTATCACAGTAGTACTGCCTGGACCTTGGAAAATTGTGGGATATAACTAGAGAAACTTTGCTCTAGGACCACTGGAAGTATTTTCTTCTTTTTTCAAAGAAGTATAGCCAAAAATGCCTTTCTCTTTCTCTCTCAGGTGCACCGTTTATAGTAGTGGTTAGGCTCCAGAGTCAGACTGTAGGTTTGAATCCTGTTTACTAGTTTATGCTCAGTAGTTATATGTCCTAGAGCCTTAATCCTTTTAGGCCTCAGTTTCTTCATATATAAAATGAGATATTATCCATATCATAGAACTGTTGCAAGGTTAAATAGCATATGCAAACTTCTTAGAACAGCAACTGGCACGTAGAAAATGCTCAATAAAAATAAGTTTTGTTACTATTTAAAAGTTAGTAAAAAGAAGATAATAGATTTTTCATCTAAATATCATGCTACTTCCCCTTTTCTTAAAGCTCTAAGAAGAAAAAATATAGTAGTATAACATTTTAAATTTGTTTCCTTGGCAGATGTCAGTATGTACTTACCTCCTGTGTAATAGCCATAAGCATAAAGAACTCGTCCAACAATCCAGGCCAAGCCCAAGCTAGAAGCTATTCGCTAAGATAAAAGGGGTACATTAGTATTTGCATTAAAGAAACAGGCAAACCTTTATTAATACATAGGGTTGATTACACAATGTGTTAGCAAAAAGTTAATAATTTCATAGATTTGCTAAAATGCTTCTGACCAAAGTTAGGGTGAGAATTAAGTTATTTTTTTAGTCAGGAAAATCAAAGACCTGTGATTCTTCTCTGTATGGTTTGTGGACCTGGGAAATGAGTACTGGCTTTCTCCTGGATAGATGGATGGAAGAAATTTCCCAACTTGCCCTGGACAACTTGGGGAACTTGTGCTCCAGCAAAAGAGAAGAAGAGGCAGGCCTGTGGGTCTCAGGGTAGGCCAGAAGAGGAAATAGACAATAAGTAGGGATTAGAGGAAAAGCCCAGTTGTCTCAAGTGGGCCTGTGAACACAGACTGCTGTGTGTTGCACTGTCTCCAGTGAAGTTGTTCACTGGAAGGGGCTCTACATAGGTGGTGCTGCAGCCTGCATGTATGAGTGGGGTCCGCTAGAGAAAGTGGGGAGAGTATCGTGTTGTGAGACCCAGAATATGCAGTTTTTGAGGGAAAAGTCTCTCTGTTCCCTGCATCCTTGAGAAGAGAAAGGAAAAACGTATTTAAGATGAAAAAATCCTTCCATTTGGGTGCCATCCTGGGGTGACCCGTTTGTTCAAAAGGAGTAAGGAGAGAACAAAAAGAGTGTATGAGAAGGTCATTTTGCCCAAGTGCCTTTCCAATTCAGTAGTGCCATCAGTGGTGGTAAGGTTACTGTGTCAGGATTTTTGTTTGTTTGGGTTGATTTTGGGTAAAGTTAAATATCAGTAGGAGGATGAAACAAATGAAAATAAAAACTCCCTGGGGCCGGCCCGTGGCTCTCTCGGGAGAGTGCGGTGCTGATAACACCAAGGCCCCGGGTTCG